GCTTTAACTTAGTATCGAAGGACAGTATTTTTGAAATAGTGGTCCTTTAACTCAAATGGCAGCATGATAAAGTATACTATTAATAACATTTCAATAGCTTTTAAAGTTATATTATTTACCCATATAACACCATGATGAATTTCAAGGAATGCATCCAAAAATTACCTAGCTGGGAATCCTTCCAAAAAGAAGTCTGTACATTCATTGCTGCATGATTGCAGTTAAAATCTATTTCCTCCTAGAAATAAACTGCACAGAAATCACCAATGCTGTACTTTCAGCCTTCTTGAGAATGTCTGCATAATTTACAGTAAGGGATTGTTTCAGTACAGCAGTGTAATTGTACCATAGTCTATTTTAAGTCTCCTGTGCAGTTCCTTCAATCAATGCACCTATTTAAGTATGATAGGACAATTATGTTGCAGCTCTCAGGCTATTAGTCATTCAACTTTCTATCTAGATAAAAAACAGCTGAAAACCCAACTCTGTTGGTAAATTCTTGGCTGGCTGCTCTTTAAATCGCCATTTTCAATGTTCAATATTAAAGAAAATAGTTCAGAATAGTAATAATTATTTAAAGAGAAATAGAAGAACACTATGTATTTATACCTTATTTAGTGGTGTAATGGCAACGTGCTAAAGTGTAGCACACAACAAATAAAGCAAGTCATTTACCACTTCATCATAGGCAATTGCATTCTGTAAGCCAAAATACGCATACATGGATTGCAGTAATTAGACCTTAAGTATGAAATACAGCTACAGTAGAAAAGTATCCCAAGATCACTAGGCAATATATTTGAGCACTCAAATCATAATAAAAAAATGTAGGAGCAGTGCTAATGCTGGAACAATTTATAAAGACTATCTTGATTTAGTTCAAGACATATCAGATGAGATACAAATTAAATTGGTGAAGCAATTTAAACACAGGTCTACTTTATTTTGTGTTCCCTTATTAGTGCTGCGTGTAGGGAAGTTGTTTAATACATATGTGGTGCCAGTCTGTTTATATTTGATCAGTTGATAGGGGTCAGCAATAGTCGATTCTTCTCCATCACCCTAACGCTTCACTACCAGCATTGTTTTCTTTCTGCCAAATATCTGATAATAAAGTAATTAAGCTTGCATTAAGGAAAAGGAAAGTGGTTATGTAAAAAAAGAAAAAAAATATCTGAAGGAATTAGCAGGATAAAAAAAATAGGTGATAATTTATAGATGTTAGTAGATGTTAGAATTTTCAGTATAATCACAGTTTCATTTTTTACAAACTTAATATTAAAGGAAGGACATTGACATAGTTAATAGAACATACACCGCTCGGACTTCTTCTCCATCTCCAATGGTACAAGGCAGGGATGCCCCCTCTCTCCGCTCATCTTCATCCTCACCTTGGAGCCCTTCTTATGCTGGATCCGTGCTCTCCCCAACTTTCGGGGCCTGGTGAAACGCTCGGGTGAACATAGAGTTGCCGCCAGCCATATCCCTTCTGTACTCCTCACTAATCTCCCCTCCCCCAGACTCATACCCGGAATTTGTGACCGAATGGGAGAGAGACTTGAACATCACCTTCACATCTGCCCAAAAAGACAGCGTACTACATTTGGCCCACCACACTTCTATGGCCTCCAAGACACAAGAACTGGGATACAAAATAGTTTCCCGGTGGTACAGAGTTCCCACAGTCCTTCATGCCATATACCCCCAGGTCCCATCCACATGATGGAGATGCCAGAGTGCTCCGGGCACGATGCTACACATATTTTGGTCCTGCCCTCAGCTGACCTCGTTCTGGAGGGGGGTGATCGCCACCATGAAGGACCTGGTAATGGTGGACTTGGCGGACAACACTGCTGCCTGCTTGCTACATCTGACCCATATGTCCACTGGGAAGTACAAGCGGTCCTTGTCTCGACATCTCCTGAATGCGGCCCGCTCCTGCATACCTCTGTTGTGGAAGCAGTCTTGCTGCCCAACCCTCAAGATGTGGTTCTCCAAGATTGATGAGACGTGTCTCATGGAAGACCTGACTTCTTCGATACGGAACACTGAGGAACTCTTCAGATCCACCTGGAGGCCCTGGACCGCATTTCAGGGTTCAGATGCCTACCAACAAGTTATGACCTTAGTACCCCCCAGAACCCAAATGGGGACGCCGACCCCACACGTTTGATGCGCTATTCTGCTCCACCCGGCCTATCTGAACTCCCACCCCTGCTGCTCTTCTTCTAATCTACTTCTACTCCCATGCTCCCTCCTTTACCCTCCCCCCTCCTGTTCCTTTAGATACTGAGCACGGCAGGCCTCTTGTTCACATGAAACCACATATGCGACACAACTGACACATACAAGAGATGGAGTGCTCTAGCCTTGAGTTTTGCTCTCTTGCTATACACCATACTAAGCTCACGTTACACATGGCGCATGCTTTTAAATGTCATATAGATTGCAGTAGATACACCAGATGTGCCTATGGTAGATATGTGTCGGACGTACTATTGGAACTGAGCAGCTCTGCTATGTGATGTCATGATAACTTCACTGTGACTGACGTTCACCCTATACCTCTGATGTCTGCAGATAATGTTATAGCGCTCCTGGGGCTATGCCTCTATGTACCCTTGTACCCTGTTTTTCTTTATGCAATAAAGCTGATTTTTGATTTAAAAAAAAAAAATAGAACAGGCAGAAAGGCATTTTTGGTGAACCCAATAGTAAATATGCTTGAACTTCAACTATTTACATATGCTTAACAAGCAGTAACTGAGCTTCAACACAGGACTTCACTGCCCTCTGTAGCTGCAGGCACTCTGGAACAATTTATTCTCAAAAGTTCACAGCAGACACACTGAAGTTCTTTAAGTCATTCACTGCTTCTGCTGTGACTGGTAGAAGTCAGTGGAGGCAAAGAGCACAGGAATTTATTAACTCACATTATTTCTGGAGGGAGCAATAGGCTTATTTTTGCACTTATCAAACGTATATAACAAAATGCTTCTAATATTATAAATACCAGACCAAAAGGGCACAAATAAGAGAAGTTCATTAGTATAATTTACATGCAGTTTAACCTCCCTGGCGGTCTGATTATTAAAAAAAAATGTCCTATTTTTTTTTTCGTTCTTTTTCTTCGTTTTTACTTTTAAATTTCCTGCCGGTTCCGCCCCCCTGCGACGCAGATGCTCGCAAGGGACGGAACCCGGAAGAGGCATAAGGTAAGTAACGCGCTGTGTAATCCCGAGTGTGGCTCGGGGGTACCGCTTTTTGTAATGAAAATTAACCCCGAGCCACACTCGGGATTACTGCCAGGGAGGTTAAAAAAGCACAAATTTTTGCATTAATCTTCCAAGTTATATTTTTGGCTGTTGGATGGGTTGTAAGGCATATAATGGTAGATACTGCCATGTACCCGGATGGAGAAGTGTTCTCCTACCTCTCTTTCTTTGTGAGATGTCTGTCTGTCTATGGTCACTCTTAAGCAGGCCACACACCAATAGAATCTCATTCCAAAATTTTTGTTTTTGGAACCTTCATTCAATTTTCTAAATGGTTAGTGTGGTGTTATCAATTATAATTTTTGCTTGTAATGTTCAGAAAAATCGAAAGAGCAGGATGGAATTTTCTTTGAACAAATTAAAATGAGATTTTTGTTCAGGAAAATTTGGACATATTGTAATGTGCATGTAATAGTCACAAAAGAAACCTGTTTAATTTGTCTGGAATTCCATTCAAATAGCAGGTGTGGATAACATTTTTAAGGGCTTTAGAAAGAAATTAGTTCAATGATGGCAAGATCGAATGTTCTGATGAACAATTTTAAATGATGTTCAAACTAAATTTTTACAGTGTATGGGCCGCTTTAGTTAAAGTGATGTTCAAGCAATCCCACTAAATCATCTCTAAGTTACCTGTCCCATTCCATCAAGCAAAACGAATGGCAAACACACTTATAAATCTGTGACATCTTTGTTAGCTGGATATAAACACATTTGCAGTAAATAAATTGTAATTATTACTTGAAGGAATTTTACAAAGGATACTAAGGGGTTGATATATAAAGGCAACAGACTGTTCACTTTGCAAGGGAATTTGCACTTTAAAAAGGGAATTTTCACTTAGCTTAGTGAATTTGGTGAAAATTTACCATGCAAGGGATACCCAATCATGAAGAAGCAAAATAAATAAAATTGTATTCTTCCTTGCACATGGTTGGACGATGGAAGTCAGCAAAGCTTTACCTCATTTACAAAGCTACAGGCAAACATTTTGTTGCAATGTGCAAATGCCTTTGCAAAGTGAACAGCCTATTTGCCTTTTGTAAATCAATCCCGGTGTCTTTAAACAACCATGGAACTGTAGCCATCACTGTATTTTGTTTGTCTTGGTGTCTATTTGTTGTAGAAAATAAACAGGGTTATTCACAAAAGGGTGCAGAGTTTGGAGAAGTCAGGAGAAGTGAACAATCTAGTACGAACATAACTGTGCTAGATTTGCCTTCTCCCAACTCTTCACGAAAGGGTGAAAAGTTGGGAGAAGCCAGGAGAAGTTAACAATCTAGTACGAACATAACTGTGCTAGATTTGCCTTCTCCCAACTCTTCACAAAAGGGTGAAGAGTTGGGAGAAGCCAGGAGAAGTGAACAATCTAGTACAAACATAACTGTGCTAGATTTGATTTGCCTTCTCCCAACTCTTCACAAAAGGGTGAAGAGTTGGTAGAAGGCAGGAGAAGGGAACAATCTCGGCCAAAATAGCCGTTTTGGAAAAATTCTCCAATTCAGCTCACTTTCCAGTTCAGCTGTTACCCTAGATTGTTCACTTCTCCTGCCTTCTCCAAACTCTTCACCCTTTTGTGAATAACCCTGTCAGTAACAGAAAGACATGCTCATTATATGCCCTTGGGAATTGTATGTATTTGAGATCCTTTTGTTGTATATTTATATGTACCATAACTTATAAGACAGAATAATATGTTGTTTCATTTTGTTTTTGTTTTTTCAGTAACGGTGGTACTATTTGCTGCTTTAAGACGGCAGAGAAAGAAAGAACCTTTAATTGTGTCTAAAGAAGACATAAGGGATAACATTGTGAGTTACAATGATGAAGGTGGTGGAGAGGAAGACACGCAAGCCTTTGATATTGGTACATTGAGGAACCCAGAAGCCATAGAAGACAGCAAATTGCGGAGGGATATTGTTCCAGAAACACTCTTTTTTCCACGTCGAACTCCATCGGCAAGAGACAACACTGATGTCAGAGATTTCATCAACCAAAGGTTAAAGGATAATGACCTGGATCCAACAGCTCCCCCTTATGACTCCTTAGCAACATACGCATATGAAGGCAATGGTTCAGTGGCAGAGTCTCTAAGTTCCTTGGAATCTGTCACTACGGATGGTGATCAGGACTATGACTATCTGAGTGACTGGGGGCCACGTTTTAAAAAACTAGCAGATATGTATAGTGGTGCAGACAGTGACAAAGACTCATAATATATTGCCTTTTTGCTTTCCTGTTTTGGAAAAGAAAACAGCATTTAAAAAAATGAGGAGTACCTAAATGGGTGGCTCTCTACCTGAGCCATCTGCTCATCCAGTTGTTTAATATTTGAAAATTGTGCAGACTTAATGTCGGAGACTTTTTATAGTAGACTTTATGAGCTTCCAAGAGGCATTTTTTCATTTGTTGCTTTGCTTTTTTATATATTACCACGATTTAGTCAACCCTTTTTATCTAATTCGTCTTATAAACACTAGGAAAGGGAGGGGGAGCAATATTTGTACACAGTCTACTCTCATTAAAATATCTATTTGTTACAGTTACCATAACCAGTCACTTGTTCCTTTGTGCACCAATGGCAATTAAACCCACTGAATGTCATGTGATTATGATGTTTGGAAATTTTAAATATTAACCTTATTGGTCTGGCTAAACGCCTTAAAATCTATTCAGCCATTTTAAGAGGACCTGCCTCTTTACACAGTGCTTATGTATGAAGTCATCAAAAGGATCAAAGCAAATTAAAGAACTGAAAGCATATATGATATTTAATGTTTTTCTAACTTGCAATGAGCAAATCTATTAGAACTCACTGGTTTGGCAAGCTTCACTTTTGATGTTTTGCCTCTGAATTTGTTGTGTCTGAGTTTAAAAAGAAGACCCACCTGGACTTTTTTTTTACATTCTGATATTTCTGTTACTGAATCGCTTAGAAAAAAAAAGATCTTTCTTTTCTCTTTAACGGTTGTGAGAAGGCAATAGCAGCTGTCAAGTGTAAAACTTTGTGAAATACAAAAATAGGTTGACATTGTCTCTGTACTGAACATCACCAAAAGTGTTGTAGAATTCTATACAGATGTAACAAGATTCTCATATCAGGAAGTTTCACATTAAGATGCAAAAATAGGAAAAGAACATTATCTACCATTTCTATGTTCTAGGTGAGATACTATAATAGGTTGTCTAAGAGAATTAACAAGATACGCATCCTACAGTTTATATACACCAAAAATTTAAAATATTGTTGCTGTATAATTTGACTAATGTATTACAAGAATGGAACCTCTTGGACAGGCTTGTTTTGAATGTTATAAGCAAACTGGGATATGAGCAGTTTTATTACCATTAATGAGACCATACATGTTATCTACTGATCAGTGTTAATTTCAGCTATTTGGTATGATTTCAGTGTAATTTTTGTTTTATTTAAATAATTATAAAGCCGTTGTTTTGATATAAACCGTGTATGTAATTTTAATTATTATTTCTGAATGGGGTTTTGTTATAGTGGGCATTGTATGGCACTATTCACTCAGCTTGTTAGGTGAATATTTGAAAGATGTTATAAAACAAATTACCCTGGCATCCTTTTGGGTTTTCACAGTACTAGTTTAAAATGTATTTCCAGTTTTGCAGTCAAATTTCAGAAAACCTCTCTATATGTTTATGTGTTCCCATTCACACAGCAAACCAACAAATATTTTTTTTAACAAGTATTTCTTACCTTTTAGATTTTTTTGTTGCAGCAGGCAAAATGGCTGCATCCAAGTTTTTTTGAATGGCCTGTCCTTGTGGAAAGACTAGTGTTGGGTATACAATGTAATATTTTCTTCATTCAACCTGCCGGCTGCTGTCAGAATACCCGGATGGTGCTTGCAGCCGATTGGTTGCAATCACTATTTGGCCAGAGATTTTCCAACAGGCTCCTGCGGTACCCACTGTGTGAATGTCAGCCGGTTCATCAGAACTGTGTGAATTATGTTTCTCTCATTAATACGCAAACCCTTTGTTAGGAGATCACAAGTCCATGTATCCCATCGCACTCCTGACCAGAAAAATGCCCAATACAGCGGGGCGGTAGCAACAACGGATGCCTCCGTCAAACAATACAAAAATAAGAAAAGTCACCGGCACTCCAGATAATCAAGTCAATTAATTTATTGACTTGTCGTATTTTCTTATTATTGTTTCTTTTCTAGGAGATGGAGTGGTCAAATCTACTGTACAAAGCACAATGAAATTGCCCAGCACAGTACAGACGGGTTAACTAAATCCCCTCACAGCCTCTCCTAACATTACAAAGCAAGAGAAGAAAAGTTTTAGCAAGTAAAAAGCAATTTAAATGGCAAGAAGTATTTTTACATTATTATAAACAGTATTTTTACATGATATATTATACAGTATTTGTACATACATTATCTTTTAGCTTATGCCATGTGAATGGGAACATGTAACAAATATAAAATAGGTGTTATCCTAATGTGGCTGCAAATGTGTAAATACACTTTTACTTCAGCATCCACATAAAGTTAATGGAAACTTGTATTGCTGAGATATAGAAAAACTGCTATGGTTGGCCTCTTTCTGACAATGCTAGCTGTGGTGAATACTAAAATACTTGCTCTAGGTCAGTGACTCAGAAAGAACGAAAGCCAATTAATGATTAGGAGAGCCAGCAAACTAACATTTTCTGATGGCAACCTCTATACGTTTACATCTAAAACTCTAAAGCCGCGTGTTTAAAAGTCTGAGCAGATCCCATGCCCACTTCCCTTATGATGAACAAGCCTCAGAATTATTTTTTTTAAATCCTTTACCTCCCTAAGTAAATTAAATCACCCTTTTTTTACATGCTTCCATTCCCAGATACTGCAGCTCACAGGGGGAGACATTAAGCAGCAGAGGCAGTGCTGTCCATCCAGTAGTGCACAGACCTAGGTATGGCTAGCTACAGACTTGTGGATCAGCAGTTACAATGTTGACAGCTACACCCCTGCAATGCTTTCTTATCCCAATGTAGTGCAATTGACATAAGGTACATAAGGGTGATAACACTGACAGGGTTATTCACAAAGCTGCCGAAGGCTATTCACTTTTCAGCTGCAGAACGCTTTTCGGCTATTCACTTCAGGCTTGTACAGCTGATTTCAGCCGTACATCGGCTGAAATCAGCCGATGTTATCGGCTTGCTTCGGCTCTGCATGTTTGGCAGACCCGAAGTGCAGAAGGAGTTCAACTCAGCCGATCCAAAATCTGGATCGGCTGAGCCGAACCTCCAGCAGGCTACTTGCTGCCGTACTATTCGGCTATTCACTCAGGAGTGAGTGAATAGCCGAATGACGCCGAGCGGCATTGGACTCGACTATTCTGCTCGGTACCTCCGTGGTACAGAGCAGAATAGAAAAACAGTGAAAAAAAGTTGGGGGAAAAAAGTAGAAAACAATTGGGCGGATCTAACAGTGACAACTCTGCCCAACTGTTTCCTATTGGCCGCCAATGAATAACCAGGGGACGCTGAACTGTCACTGCAACTGGCCGGAGCTAGCCGACAGATCATGGCTGGCTCCACCCAGCTGTCAGTTGCGAGGCTTTCGGCTGGCCAATGGCCGTCCCGCTTATGGTTTCCCTTCGGCTCGACTTAGCCACTCGGCCAGCTTCGGGAACTGTACGGGCTAAAGTGAATAGCCTGTACAGCAGCCCTTCGGTTCTACTGAACCGAAGGGCTCAGACGGCCGAAGCTAGCCGAAGGTTAAGCGAGAGCTACGGCTGGATCCTTTGGCTAGCTTTGTGAATAACCCTCTAAATTCAGGAGCAGTGTAATAGCATTTTCATTTTATCAGAAGAAGCTGATGAGGTGGACTACACCAGCAGGATCAACAGGTATTTGGGGATCTTTTCAGTGGGACTAAGGTGCAAAATGTTCGACAGCCCTATTCCAGCAGAGATTTGGTGTGCTTGCCATGTGATGCAATGTTCCAGTTTTCTGGACAGGACAAAAAAATCGAATGCCCTAGTGAAGCTGAAGCCCTCAGATGATGGAGCTCCATGTACACAGGAAAAGCAGGGCACATTTGGGGGCATACAATAGCACCAGCAGCTTTATTAAGTTGAAATGGAAAATTATTAACAATCGTTTTTTATGTGATTGTAATGCAAAGTCCTGTTTTAAAAATATCAAAACAATGTTTTCTATTCAATGGGAACTAACTGTTTATTGTTGTCCTGTTTGGATTTAATCAACCGGCATTTTCCAAAGTTCAATGTTGGTTTTACAGCATCAGGCGCTCATTATGGCATTATCGGTATTAATGAAACTCTAACTGGAAAAGCCTTTTATGCTCACACTGTCTTGAAAATTCGCTCTAAAAAAAACTGTTTTATAGACCTATAATCTCAACCTTTCCTAAAGCAGCTCTCACAGTTTCATAGCACTTACATTTTTGCTGCTGTAAATTCATTTTATTTCTGTTTTAATTAAATTGCTCAGAATATGCACTGAGCATAGGATTTATATATACCAAATGGTGGCAGGCTTCCAAGGCCCCTGTAGCTGTTCCAATTCTTTACTATAAGGTCATCTTCATACTAATGAATTAAGACATGCATGTCTCCTACGCAAGCAATTCTATGAGAGTGACGCAGATTATATAATGAAATAGGTTTTCCCAAGCTTTCGATAAAAAAATCTCCCACTCTGAAAGTGACATTTGTAATTACATTAATATGACTACAAACAGCAGAAACCTGGAATTGATTGTCTTTGACACTAAATAATTTTGGGACTGTTCTTTACTTTAAAGAGTCCCAACGGTAGTTTGTACTGTTTAAGTGGAAAGCTGAAGACTATCAGTGAAAAATAGAGCAATATCTGTTAGCATTATGTGAGTCTCCTGTAGCACATTGTGCCTGATGTATACTGTACTCAGAGTGACAAACAATAGCACCACAGTCGTTGTATGACTTCTTGAAATTGTAATCATAAATAATATGTTAATATTACATAAATAACAAATATGGAGAGGCTGCATTCACTGTAATGTAATATGGGTAGCAGAATTTTTCTTGTCTGTGGTGTTCTACTGCAAATGCAGAGGGAAGTTTGCTTCAGGTATAAACAAGACGGTTTTATTTTTAAAACTACCTGTTCATTTCACTTTACTTGTACAAGTGAAGCTTAAATAAGCCTACTAGTACTAAAAAGACTATAATAATAAAAAAAAGTTGCCACTGGGGAAAAGTGGAGCAAATTACTGCCTGAATGAAGTACAGGCACCCAGAGAAACCTGCACATACCAGCAGCAGCCTTCTAAACGTTCCTGTCATGGCCATATCTCAAGCAGTCCTGGCAGGCAAAGCTTTAGCACTTCAGTAAGGCTGCCCGTTATAGCAAGAGACTAAGAACATGTGGGATGGGGATTAGAGGAAAACTCTGACACTATAATGTATAAAATGCAGGCATTTCGAGGTACCTGAACATTCCTGCATCAACCTTCCTGCTAGTTGGTCCCTTTCCACCAACTGAAAAATTCCTTTAAGTAAACCTGTCTCATATAAACCATAGTAAACCTGACATAAAACATTAAAATTACTCACCTAAGAACAGCTGCATGTACCGTTGTTTATTTTACTTGTCCTGGAGCCCTTGGACCCACAGGTTATCCTGCTGGAGCCCTTGGGCCGACAGCACTCAAATGCAAATACTGGCCTACAACTACATACCGGTACTTGTTTTAGAAAAGTGACTTCAAATATTGGATCAGCGTGACTAACTTGAAACATTTTTAGAAGGGTAGGTAGCACCTGCAGCCTTCATATTCACTCAGTACAGGGGTCTTTTAATGTTCAAGCTCTAATGTATCTTCTCCTAGGTGACTTCTTCTATTAAAAAACACAGCACAATGCAGGAGGCCATATTTAGTGAACATGAGCCCTTGTCTTGAGCCTTGGTTCTCAACCAGGTCGTGACCCTAAAGTGGGTCGGCGCATGCCTTCCTCTTTTCTAGGTGAGCGGCTCCTCTGAGTGTCAGCTTGAGGTGGCATGGGATGGGGTTATGACTGCAAGGGCACTCCCAGGGCCTGTGCAAGGATTTTTGACAACACAGGCGAAGGTGCATTTTTGCGGCCCCCCATCTGCCAATGCCCCTCTCAGGTGACCACGGTGGTGCAGATGACCCCAATGGATAGATGATCCAAATAATTAAGGTGACCCAGGTAGTACTGGTGATCCCAGTTGTACAGGTTATAACCTCCTAGCCAGTGACCCATCCCACAGTGCAGGTGACATTTCTCCCCCCCTCCCGGTCAGTCCATGAACGTACTCTGGTTGCTGTGTGAATATTGGAGACACTGTGAATTTTTGATGAACTCTCTGATTGTTGTGTGGGATCTCCGGGCACAGCGCAGTGTACATATCTCACCACAGATGAGACACACACACCGCTATACTGACACACACACAGC